ACGCCGACATGGAAACCGGCACGAAATGAGGTTAAGTTGATTACCTTTCTTCTATTCTTTAATACCACCAGTTAGCGTTGCAGTCAATGAAGTAGTCAAGAATAAACGGGGTTCATCATGTTGGCTAATTTAGCCTCAAGAACCACGTTCCCCCAAATCTACATTCAACAGGTTCTAATTCCTCATCTCCAATTGCCGCGTATCGAAGTTAACTTGACCATATAGGCCATGTGTAATTAAGTTATTGGCCGGAATAGTCTCGAAATTCCCAGTATGAATCACGCATGGTAATGGAAACTACGATATAGTCGCCTATAATACAGCATTTAAGAAATGCCCTCACGTGTCAGATGAATACTACCTAAGGTATGCGTCTCTTCCCTTTTCGTGACCTTGTTAGCCACGCTGCAGGTGGCAAAATAGTATGTTAAACGTGTTTCCGCATCTGCAATTACCTGAAGAGTTCCCATATGTCGTAAGGGTAATATATTTCATTTCTAGCATGCAGCATTCGCGCTCTAGAACAGCACGCCTTGACCGTGGCTACCTAGGCAACGTTATGATACACCTTATCTAGATGTGACTGCATACCTTGCTGTATACGTCACCGAAAACAGGTCTTGGCGGGAGCAGCGAAGTTGATTTACCTAACCTAGAGCTTAGCTGCCATGCCGATATCCCCGTCGCTTGCGGCTTCCATGGTGGCGTTGCATTGGACGACAACATCCGTGGTAACGGCTATTGGGTTTCGGGGGAGGACCTTGATAACGTCAATCGCGGGTTAAGATGGTATTTGATTTAGTAGGTTCTCACAATCCGAATGAACGCTTTCGCATGCAGGTTGAGATCAGTGGCTTTACGTGTTACAGACTGTAGTTATGGGCTTTAGCCCAACATTATGGTCGAAGTCTTAAGCGAATGCGGTGTTACTGATTTCTTCAAGCGATTCCGAGAATATTCCCAGCGAGTTATCATTAAGCCGCATGTACTTACGAACTGATCATGTCTGATTTATCTGATTTGTTCATCCCAACATATGAGCAAGAAAATGTTACCTATGTTCTGTTGTGTTTCTTCCTGCAGTATGATGTCGAGGTGACGACTTGGAAATGGTAGAAATGGGAGAAATGGGATGCAGATACGTGAAGGTTACACCCGCAATGTTTCCGGAGAGGCAAACAATTCGGTATTACCTTCGAGGACAGGTTCGATTTAATTCCTAATAGAGTAAATTGTTATTTCCAGAGGCTCGTCTTCAACATATCCGAGATAGGCCGACTCTGCGAGAGTTGCTCTTTGCGAGGGAGGTCCGAGACGACAGTTAGTAGGGTTTGAATCGTCTCGGTGTGTTTTCAACTCGGCAATTCGCTCATTAACAGCAACTCTTTCTCACTATTTCTTCTGTGCACCGGATAATAATGAACCATAGCCCGCTATTGCGCGGTTTGGGCACACAGCAGCGGTAGTACTGTCTTTTGGCCGGGGAAAAAGAAGCATCACCACTTGGATATTTGTAGCTAACGTCAATTATTCCCTCACCCGCACTAACCGCTGTTATTCATAATAGGTTACCTCACCGGTAGACACATAGGGCTGAGGGATAGACGGGCTAAGCAGAAACAAGACCCTTAATGTTACTGTCCCTAGATCGCCTATTTTATCTACTCTCGGTGGCAAAATATCTGCATCTAGAGGGGGAACGCGTGATTGAAAGCCTGCTAATATGAGCGGCTTCCCGATTAAAGAAATTCTGGGTCGTTCATCAATAACATCCTGCAGTAGGGGTCTTTTCTGCCAGGCTGGACATGCATCGGAGCAAGGGGACTGGGAGGGCGAGACGATTGGTGAGTACATTGACATATGTATTCCGATGGCTACGCTAAATGCCGGATTGACCTGTCGTATTCCCTCGACGGCAGCGGGCCGGTAATCTTACCAAAGTGTTCCAGTTGACAGGTCAACAACGGGGAGCCGGGGTTGTGCTATATAAGCCTTCAAGTAGATAGACGAGCTTTGTCAGGCTCGGATTTGCCCAATCGCGGAAGAGAAGAATAGCACAACAAAGACTAGAGGATATCTGTGTGATCTGTATATACAGATTTAACAAGAGACAAGACTTTGTAAACAGTGCCGCTGACGATCGTATAGTCCTGGAAGAACGCTAACGCTGCGGAACCTCCGCCAGAACTAACTCTAATAGCTAGAAATACTCTCTGCGAGTTACACTATTGGACGACGGGATGAGCCAACCAACCCCATGACGAACCCAGGAATCCTCCCACCTGCAGGGTTCGCGGGGGAAAAGTAGTATTAAAATACATATGGAAATGCGGGGAGACTCGCATGCTTGTATACACATCACATACCTCATATGGGTGGGTAGTATGCATACCTACCTAGGTACACATGTACGCACTAGGTTAAACTGTGTTCACAATGAGGCAGCGATGCAGGGAAAGCGAGCCGAATATGTAGGCGGATATGTAGATGCGATCATGTGGCGTCGGTTTACATCGACGAAATGTTATACCCCTGACTATCTTTGCAGATTCGACCGGTTGGTTGGCAGCAGAACAGAACGAGCTCCAGCCTAACCTTCCCACCTGCTACTAGTCCCCTTAGTCTCAAGCGTGATCATTAAGTTTTTGGCAAGGCACGGTTGGTTAACCTTGTGTGATGATGGATTATACTCTGTAGAATAGCTTGTATTAAGCTCCACCTTGTTGACCCGTTGGCTCCTGGTCGTGGGATTGCCTGAATAGGTAACCCGAAGCATCTAAGCCATAGCACCATAGCTTCCAGGAAGTTCATCCGGTGATTCATTAGCAAAGCTCTTTGTTCGCCAGCGAGGCACGTGGGGCACGATACTAATCATGTGTCTGTTTGCCAGCCTTGCATTGTCACCGAGAATCCATATTCGTACCCACGTAGTAAGATGCCCGTTGGTATTTGGTAACATGTCGGATTTCCGAACCTTCACCGGTCAACCAACCTGGCCAAGGCGGATTCTACGATGGTACAATATGTTACTGCGTCTGTGGGGAAGACTATACTTAGCTCTAGAACTGTCAAACCCTCGTCTAAGGTCCCAAGGCCCTAAGCTTTCGGCCCCTCGCTCTATCCCAAGGGGGAGCGGAGCCCCCTCATCACCTGCTATTCCCTAATTTGCCTCGCCGTTGGTTCCAGGAGCTATTCCTGCGGCTTTGTTCCTAGATGAAAAGAGAAAGGGGGGCTAGGCTTGGGTATTGTGAACACCTTAGCGGAACTGACACTCTCGGCTCACGATAGCTCCCGGAGCAGGGGACTAAAGCTTCGCTATATATAACGCCCGTTGCGAGCTTGCCCTCCATCAATATGGAACTAACACATCGTCTATACTATACTATCGTGTCATCGTGGACCGGATCCTTCTTATTCGTGCTTCCGGACACCCGTGTCATTGCCCACCCCACGCCCCTCGGCCCAGCAGATCGTTATCTTTCTCAAACAAGACACACGTTGGCCCGCATAATTAGGACGGAGGTCTTATTTGAACTGGGTCACTCAGAGCATATATATACGTAGGCGTCTCAGGCTTTCTATACCAAAAATCCTCCATAAACCAGACCAACTCACAATGTCGAACCTCGCACCGAGAATATCTCGAGCTGCCCCTTCAGTAGGAAGACTCGCCGGCGCCACGCCGCGTGTGGCACCACCATGCAGTATCACAGCCAGAGCAGCAGGAATAGCAGCCTGCAGGTTACCTTCTCGCCAAGCGCCGACACGGCGGTCTTTTCACAACACTACGGCCAACGCTACCAAGATCGACCTAACTCAGAGCAGCCCACCAGGGATATTACCTGAATTCAGCTTGAAAGACAAGGTTATTGTCGTTTCTGGCGGAGCACAAGGGCTGGGGCTCGTACAGACAGAAGCCCTCCTAGAAGCAGGCGCCAAAGGTATGGGGACTGAGACAATTTCTCCAAGAGAGATACTGACTATAATGGATAAATAGTACACGTCTTCGACAGACAACCCCAACCCGGCGCTGGTTCATCTTATGAAAAAGTAGCACGCCGAGCTAAGGAGGAACTGGGTACCTCGCTGAGCTACCACCAAGTCGACGTTCTGGAGGCACCCGACAAACTTCACAAGATCACCGAAGAAATCGTCGCCAAGGAGGGACACGTCGACGGCCTGATCGCGGCTGCTGGCATCCAGCAGGAGACTCCGGCCTTAGATTATACTGCTGAGGACTCTAACCGCATGCTAGGAGTCAACGTCACAGGCGTACTCATGACAGCACAGGCCGTAGCGAAACATATGTACCAGAACGACACACCCGGGAGCATTGTCCTAATTGCCAGCATGAGCGGCACAGTAGCGAACCGCGGCCTGATCTGCCCGTAAGCCCCTCCCCTCCCCAGACACCTACAAGCGATCACCAGCGAGCTAACCCGCCTCCCAGCGTATACAACGCCTCCAAGGCCGCCGTCATCCAGCTCGGCCGCAACCTAGCGATGGAATGGGGCGTCAAGAACATCCGCGTGAACACCATCTCGCCGGGCTACATCGTGACGGAGATGGTGCAGAAGCTGTTCGAGAAGTTCCCCGACCGCGCCGTCGAGTGGCCCAAGCAGAACATGCTGAACAAGCTCAGCAAGCCCGAGGACTACCGCGGCGCCGCTGTGTTCCTGCTCAGCGACGCCAGCCGCTTTATGACTGGTGCGGATCTGCGTATCGATGGCGGACATGCTGCTTGGTAGAGCATGAGTACGAAGGGGGGGGAGACTGGCTGGTGGGATATATACTGCGTTTGTACCTAAGCTATGTAGATTGGCAGGATAAGATGGCTGTCTGCTAGGGACGATGGCCCCTGCGCTGGAGGAGCTTGATGATAACGAACGACTTGGCATGGGGATGTAGGTATTATCGAATGTACCAGGAGATGCGATAGATGGCGCTTTTACATACCTCGAATGCATAATATACACCAAACAGTAATCCATCCATCCATTCGTGGGCCCTAGTAAATCCGCCATGCAGCAAACTTGATTTATTTGTTTTTCGTGTTTCCTCCCCCAGGTGTAATTTCATGCCCCTAAGTCAAGTCAAGGGCAAAGTAACCCCCTTAGGCCCTAACCTATTCACAACACCGCTCTTAAGCCGCAACCTCGTCTCGATATCAGCGGCCGGTGTTCCTCGCGCCTGCAGCACCAGCGCCTGCTTCAACGTCCCCACGTCCAAAAACTCCCTCCCCTGCCGAACATTCTCAAACTCAAGCGTCGCACGCTCCTCCAGCCGTTGCCGCGCCTCCAGGGCGCTTAGCGTCGGGTTCTGCGCCGGCGAGGGGAACCCACGGCTCCGCGGTCCTTGGTCCGGCGCGCCGGGGTAGGACGACGCCGTGGACGAGTTCGAGAGCGTCGGGTTGGGCGTTGCGACGCCCATCTGCTTCAACCGCTGCGAGAAGGCTGCGTTTGTAAACGGGTTCGGGTCCGGGTCTATGCTATCCGCTTTGATTGCTGGGCGCGGGCGGCAGGTTAGCTCTGATTAGAGGGTAGTGCGGGAGAAGCGCGCCGGGATGTCGTGGTGTAAGTAAGTAAGTGAATGCAGTAAATAAATGCTCACCGTCATCTTTCGTAAGCGAGGCTCGCGGCTCGGGGGTCCGTTGCACTGCCGGCCGCGGGCGGGCGTGTGGTGGAGGAGCGGCACTGCCGGGTGCTCTGGTGGGGAATTTGCGCGTGGTCGTTTGGGCGGGTTTTGATGCTTTTGCCCCCATTGTAGATGTTGTATTCCTCGTCTTATTTGGCGTTTGCAGAGAAACGGGGGTGTGACAACCTTGAGGTTTTGGTAAATTTTCGAAATGACGTTGCGATTGCGATTGCGATTGCGATTACGTCCGCGCTGTTGGAGCTTCTATCGGTTACACAAGGAGGTACCTAAGTATTGTACATACATGTAGCTTAAGGGAGCTTGGGCCAATTAGGTACATCAATATCTACATGTACCTAATATGGTACGATTGTACCTATTGGTCTTGTTAGACAGCGAACTCAATATAGCATGATTTCTTCCTTACATATCATTTATTTTAACCTAGGTCTTTAGGTTAGATACCTAACCTAGGTAACTACTTATATTCGCGATACCTCCTCTATATCTGCAAAGTTGCTAGTTTCTCCAGGTGATTGTCTTCGTTCTAACCCATTCTTCCACCCCAGTCAGGGCGTTAAATCGCCCGTATCCGCTCTCCTTACTTCCTCCATGCGGTAATGCCGTCTCGTCGTGAATTGTCATATTATTAATATGAACCGCCCCGGTCTCTATACCTCGTGCAAATCGCAGGCCAGCCTTTAGATCCTCGGTGAAGACGGCGGATGCGAGGCCATACTCAGTATCGTTGGCTATTCGCAGAGCCTCTTCTTCGGTCTCAACTTCAATAAGACTTGTCGTCGGGCCAAATGATTCTTGCTTGTACAGGTCCATGTCGGGTGTCACCTTGCTGGCGACTATTGGTCTCAACCTGGTCTTTGAGCTCTCTGCGGCGTCCACATCTCCGTTGAGGAGAACGGCCCCCTTACTAATCGCATCCTTTAAGAGATTCTTGTTCTTATCAACACCTCGAGCGTTGATCAAGACTAAGGCATCGCCTTTCGATGGGAAGATGGTCTCTATGGCTGCAACCAACTTCTCTTTGAATGCTTCGCTGATCTTCTTATGCACGATTATTCTCTCGGTGCTCATACAGACTTGCCCGGAGAAAAAGAAGGCCCCTTGGGCGCATTGATCCGCAGCAATGTCCAAGTTGGCATCTTCCCACACGATAGCCGGTGCCTTGCCGCCAAGTTCTAGGACGAGAGGTTTTAGGTGTTGGCCCGCAATCTTTGCGATGATCTTCCCCACCGCCGTACTTCCGGTGAAGTTGATCTTTTTGACATGTGGGTTTGCGATCAAAGACTCCGTAACGGATGGCGCGTGGGCCGGATCGGTTACTATGTAGTTCACTACTCCTTTAGGTAGGCCGGCCTCGTTGAGAATAGATAGGATAGCGTGATGAGTACGTGGCGCCAATTCGGATCCCTTGAAAACAACTGTACAACCAGCCGCAATCGGGAAGAGCACCGAGCGAGTGCCTAAGATATATGGTGCGTTCCTTTGTTGTGGTGAGCCTAAGTTCTACTAATTGGTTGAGGGGAATATTTACCAAGGAGCTATTGCTAACACAACACCGTACGGTTCCTTCACGACCAGGGCTGTGATACCTGGCACACACGCAGGAATGGTGCCTTCCACGGCAGCCGTCCGTCCAGCTACATCCTTGAACATATCAATGGTGAGGTTGATATTGAAGTCGGCCCAGCTGCGTGCCGCCCCAATTTCGTCGATCACATACGTGGCTAGTTCCTCTTTCCTATTGCTCATAATCTCAGCCGCCCTGAGGAAAATATCTCGGCGCTCGGCTACGGGAGTATTTCGCCATTGCTGACCAGCAGCTACGGCGGCATCGATAGCTGCGAGAGCTTCTATCTCCGTTGCTATACTACATTTATGCAAGAACTTGCCGGTGCTAGGTGATGTCACGTCGAAGGTCTTCTCGACGAGGCGTTCCTCGCCATCAATAACGAACGGTACCGTGTACGTTGACATGTTTGCGGAGACTTGGCGGATATTCAACTGGAAATGTAGGCGGTGTTGAGCCGATTTATTAATTCCAAATCACCGGCAATGCCCTTTCGGTTATGCTATGACACTAGTGATGAGATAAGTGGCTCTAGCAGCCCGCCGAATATGAGATTACTCGGAACCGGGCAAAGCTGTGGAGCACGAGATGGCTGAGACGTTTTGTACGTAACGGGAGTGCATCGTCTCCAACAACTTACACTCTTGAAGATCGGTTTTAATCTACGAAACTTACCTCTAATACCGAAATTCATGCCCCCTCATTTCCCCGACACCCCAGTAATACTTGGTTACTTGCTTGAATTCGCTTCCAGCCAACCCCACCTTGGTCGCATATATCGTTCCAACCAACATAGTGTAAATCCTCCGTAATTCGGTACACAAGGTTAGTATCTTCAACCGGGAGATGACAATAGATCACACATCTTTTCGGTATCTACCTTAGGTGGATTAGGGATATTCTGGGATTATAGAGCAGCAATTTTGAACCATAGATAGCTTACGCACCCAGGGCACACACTATTAATTCCGTAGCCTTGTACTAACCTAACTAACCTAGTAGATTTGCAGTATTCCCAAGGCTTTCACAACTATAACAAAAGCCGGCTTCTATTGCCGTCGTAGTTGAATACATAAAATTAGTATGGTAGTGCGGACTAGATCGTTGTGTTTTCATTAATTGTGTTCTGTTGCCATTGCGATTGAAGCATCTCTTAACGATTTCCACGTCATTGGCGAAACAATGTTCTATGCAACTACATTGATAACAACCTTTTATAGTAGATGGGCCTCTAACCATAAGACTTAGTGATAAATGCTGCATCAACTCAAATATAAAATAGTCTTCTTGAATTACGGGATTGATCGGCAATAATAAAATAGCTTAAAGTCTTTAGTATAGGAGGCTTATACAAAGACCAATGTGAACTACTCCTATAGCTACATCGCTGCAAGAAGTTATTAAGCAATATCGAGTAGACATACGCAATTGTTAGTACCGATAAGTATTAGTTAGACCTCTAATCTTTCTGTCGTCTACCTAATGTAAAGTCATTCCTCATGCTTCGCTGACGAATTACCCCGAGAGTCGCCTCGTGCCTACGTTATAATCTAAACCCTCGGATACGCTGCGAACACCAATCTATAACAACCCGTACCCTCGGGTATCTATCTCTGTGGAACGCCGCTCCGAACCGACTAGGTTAGCTGATTGGCCCTGGTGCAACTGACCTTCAGGCTAACTCTGAATTTACATATATACATAGTAGCTGCCCTTTACGGACCGCGCGATGATTGGACAAATAGGTCTCCATAAGATCTTTAAATTTCCATTGTTCGCAACCCTATATCACCGAGCACTGTAGAGGTCCCTCCGCTCGAATATCGACCGGCTCTTAGCCTGGCTTGAAAATTCTTCAACCTCCATTTTGACTATATGTTCCCCGGGGACGACGACGAGGCCCAGGTACCGCGACGTCATGTCCAGCGCTACCTTATCCGCGCCGGATGTGGAGCTCGCGGCTTTGGCTTCGGCTAGTTTTTGCTGCGGCGGCTCGCGGTATTCGTAGGTCAGCGATAGGACTATGTTGTTATGCTAGGGAGATATGTGTCTTAGCATGGTATAGTCGAGGTGTAGCTATGTAAAGGGTGGTGACGAACCGTGTCCGTGCATTTGAAGTTCCCTATGAAGATGCGCCCGTCCGTTGTGTAGATGCGTAAGTTCTTATTGAGCAGCGACTTGAGGAATGATTCGGCTTCTGCCGGTTCCATATCGGTTTCCATGCTCATGTGGTATATATATCCTTAGAATAAGTATCCCTGGGGTATTCTAAGGCGGTATTGGATTAAATATCATTCGGCTTCTCATTATACGCGACGAAAGCGTGTCTTTGTGTTAGAGGGAAGAGTTGCGAAGAGGGGCAAGATATTATAGGGCTTATCGATAGGGAGCTGCACCTTTAACCCTTGCGGCTCGTAGCTGCCACCACTTTAAACCTGACAGGGATCCCCTGTACATAAGTTGAGCTCTATGTACATAGACGCGATTACCTAGGTACCTAAGGTACCTAACCTACCTAATTGTCGCGGTGCGGCGTCGAGTCATCGTCATCCATCATTTCTATTTCTATCTTCTAATGATAATTTCAGGCAACAACACACTCTTTTATTTTGTCCATTTGAACTCGATCTACACTGCTTAGGTGGATGCCGCTAACCATGCGGTCAAAATTCTATTGTATATGAGGGCTTCACTTCAATTACAACATCAAATAAATTACCTTCACTGATCGTGTGAGTTCCACGCCAACATGGGTGTGAACGGACTCTGGACCGTGGTGCAGCCGTGTGCCCGTCCAACGAATCTCGCCACCCTCAATCGTAAACGTCTCGCTGTCGATGCATCTATCTGGATATACCAATTCCTTAAGGCCGTTCGCGATAAAGAAGGAAATGCTCTGCGCAACTCGCATGTTGTCGGCTTCTTCCGCCGCATATGCAAACTACTATGGTTCGGTATTCAACCTGTCTTCGTGTTTGATGGTGGTGCTCCCGCCCTGAAGCGCCAGACTATCACAAACCGAAAACGGAGACGGGAGGGTCGAAGAGAAGATGCGGTCCGTACGGCTGGTAAGCTGTTGGCCGTGCAGATGCACCGGATAGCAGAGGAAGAGGACGAGAAGCGCCGGAGGAGAGTAGAGCGTGAGGCGGAAGGAAGACCGGACATAGATGAGCCTGCTGAAGAGCTTCCCGATGCAGATCAATTGGTTTATGTGGATGAGCTGGGAATGAGCCAAGCCGAACGGCAGAAGAGTAGAAAGTTCTACAAGCAGGATGCCTATCACCTACCAGAATTAGACGGAGGTATTGAGGGTATGGGTCGACCGGAAGATCCTCGCATTATGAGTATAGAGGAGTTGGAGGAGTATGCAAGACAGTTCAACAGTGGCGAGGATATCAACGTCTACGACTTCAGCAAGATCGACTTCGAAGGCGAGTTCTTCAAGAGTCTACCACCCGTTGATAGATATAATATCCTTAACGCAGCGAGAATACGAAGTCGATTGAGAATGGGTTTAAGTAAAGAGCAATTGGATGGCATGTTCCCTGATAGAATGGCATTTTCCCGGTTTCAGATCGAGAGGGTGCGGGAGAGAAATCATTTAACGCAAAGACTTATGCAGGAAGCCGGAATGACCGGAACTGATCTTACACTAGCAAAAAATGCGCGTATAGCAGGCGAGAAAGATCGCGAATATATCCTGGTCAAGAATGAAGGGGCCGAGGGTGGATGGGCCCTTGGTGTTGTTAGCAAAGAGAAAGATCGTGGCGAGATACATAAACCTATTGATGTTGATGCCCTAGATTTTCAGTACCAGGCTAAGGAAGATGATGACGAATGGGAGGATGACGACGATTTCGAAGACGTACCTATCGAAGGTATAAATCGTTTACCAAGAGTCGAGCCTGAAGCTAGAGCTGCTTACGACGCCGAGGTGCGAAGACGACAAATATATGAAACTAGATTACAGAATGGTCAAGAAGACACCCCTGCTAATGACGAAGACGAGTCCCTATTTGTCGGAGGGGACGTTGGAGATGGCGTTAATGATCTTTTTGAGCCACGAAACGGGGAGGATATCCTTATTAACGATGAGGAAGAGGACCTTAGCCGAGCTATCGCCTTGTCTCTGAGGAACCAACACGGAGTAACCTCATCGGCAGAGGGGGAAGAAGAGGAAGAAGAATTTGAAGATGTTCCTGCTCCTGAGTGGACACAAAAAGCTACCGCAGGACCAAAGCCGATAGCCACCACAAGCGGGAATATGATCGCGCACATTGTGAATAATAGAGCTAATGCGGCGATATCTAAGCCTATGCCGGCACGACGGGATAGCAACGGGAGTAGCGATAGTGAAGTCGATCTACGAGCTGCTCTATCAAAAAGGAAAAAGAAAGCACCAGTCTTCAAACCCCAACCTGAGCCAGTAGTTCGAAATGTAAAGAATCCATTTGATGGGCCTTTGCCGTTCGAGAGGCTGGACTGGAAGTCTAGTATTTTTGCAAATAAAGAGAAGGCGCCTGCAAAAGTAACCGAGAAGGAAGCTGGAGAAGAATCAGCGTCTGATGAGCTCGCAGGTGGCTTCATACGAGATGGCAGCGATGATGCTGATACTAATGCCGATGACAAGGTACAAGAAAGTGAAGCAGCGCGTCCTCTGCCACCATGGATGATGCAAGATCAATCAGATATCCGCGAATCTCTAAAGGCGCGACGAGCTATCGAGCATGAAATTAACGAACAGGACCGAGAAGCTGCACTCGAAGAGGAAAGACGGTGGCGCAAGGATGCAATTATCGAGATCGAGTCATCGGACAACGAAAGTGATATTCAAATTATTGAGGCACCCCCGTTACCGCATCAGAAAAGCCCTGCACATGTGGAAGAGGATCGAGACGCACTACGACTATCTCCTGCTACTTTAACAAGAGTCAATCCTCCAGTTGCTGATGAGGAAGATCAAATTGAGGACACGCGGCGTGCAGATATCGTACAAGAGCAAGCTGCTTCCCAAGCCGAGGCAATTGATGATACAGTACCTAGTCCTAAATCGGCCTCCAAATCAGCTTCACCGGAACCGGATTTTGAAGAAGTTGAGACTTTACAACCGCCAGAAGAACCCATCTGCAATGATGTCGCTCCTCGGCCAGCATCTCGTGAGCCTACCTTCGAGGACGTTGAAGCGCCTATGCCGGAAGATTTTGAGTCGCCTAACGGATCGAAACTCGTAGCCGATGCTACTAACGACGAGCTTTTTGGCGATGCTGAGTTTGATGATAACGAATTTAGCGATCCCGAGGAAGAGGAGCTACTTGCACAGATGGCTGAAGAAGCCGAAGAACATGCACGTTTTGCTAGTCAACTGAATCACAAGTCCGAGAAGGAGAACCAAGAAGCTTATGAGCGAGAACTCAAGGCACTACGAACACAGCAGAAGAAGGACCGAAGAGATGCGGATGAAGTTACTCAGATCATGATCACCGAATGTCAAGCTTTATTGCGATTTTTTGGTATCCCTTACATCACCGCGCCAATGGAAGCAGAAGCTCAATGTGCCGAGCTGGTTAATCTTGGCCTGGTCGATGGTATAGTGACGGACGATTCGGATACCTTTTTATTTGGCGGCACGCGAGTGTATAAGAACATGTTCAATAGCAACAAGTTTGTCGAGTGTTATCTTGGATCCGATCTTGAGAAGGAACTATCGCTCTCCCGTGAGCAACTAATATCCCTGGCACAATTGCTTGGCTCCGATTACACGGAGGGTCTCCCGGGGGTCGGGCCCGTAACCGCCGTCGAGATTCTTTCCGAGTTTCCTGGTAGAGATGGGCTCACGAAGTTTCGAGAGTGGTGGCAGGACGTCCAGATTAACAACCGACCAAAGGAAGCAGACCAATCATCAACCTTCCGAAGGAAATTCCGCAAATCCCAGGCTACGAAGTTGTTCCTACCTCCCGGCTTCCCTAATATAGCTGTCTACGACGCTTACCTACACCCAGAGGTCGACAGTACCCCAGACCAGTTCCAATGGGGCGTACCTGATGTTGCGGGCCTACGACGATTCCTAATGAGCACAATTGGATGGAGCGAAGAACGAACAGACGAAGTCCTCGTCCCCGTGATTAGGGACATGAATCGTCGGGAGGCCGAAGGTACACAGAGTAACATCACAAGGTACTTCGAGGGCGCCGTCGGTGTCGGGGCAAAAGAAGCATTTGCCCCGAGGCAGAGGGTCCAGGGGAGCAAGCGCATGGCTCAAGCGGTTAATAAGCTGCGCGCGAACGCTGTAGTCGAGGGTATTTCCACTGCTGCGGAAGTAGAAGCCGAGGACGAGAATATTGCGCCACCCCCACAACAATCTGCGCGGAGGAAGAGGAAGGCCGGGAATACGATTACGATTGATGACGACGACGACGATGAATACGCCGATGGTGGCGAGGGAAATGGGAATAAGGATAATGGCGTTAAGAAAACTACTAGTAGGCAAAAGGGCAAAGGCGCGAAAAGGGGGAAGAGAACTAAGGCGTCTGCGTAGGTTGTCCCTTTCCCTAGCAAGACCGCATCATTGTAGAATTAATCCTAGAGGGCTCAGGCCTTGTGTACTATTTACTATCTTACGAGATGAGAAATTAGATGCTTAAATATTCAGTCTCGGAATTATTATGCTACATCATAGGTAAAAATCTATATAAATAGTTAGATGTATATCAATCGCTTCATTCTTTTCTTAGTTACATTATAATCTTGTTGGCAAGAACCGGTAGGTAAGACCAGACGAAGATGTTGAGAATTTGAGAGTGTGTTGCGGATGGAAAATTAAAAATAAAGAAGATTCTTATTATCGCACTTGGTAATTCCAACCGGAAGGAAGATATGCAAAAAGTTGATCAACGCAGGGATCGAACCTGCGACCTTCTGTGTCCTCACAATACACTATACAGTGGAATTGTAAGACAGACGTGATGACCACTACACCAGTTGACCAGCAGATGTGATTTGTGAGAAACCATATCCTCGGATGAAAAGTCGGCGCTTTCCAATGGATTATATTGGTTTGTTTGTTAGCGGGGGATCTATGAAATTAGTGCGCTAACTAAGGGTCCCGACGGAAATAATAAATATAACAAATGGTATGTACCTATATTACCTAATAATATATTCAACTAACCCACCTCTTCATGTTGTATGGTTTTACTTCTTTTGACTCGACGACGGTTATATTGTATCTCTGAATTATATGTACCTAAGTCTACATAGATCCTAAGGAATATGCAAGTATTTTTAGAATGTGCAAAACGCAAAGGGATACTATATCTCTAACTAGGTACTTAGGCATACAGGATGGTTGCAATTGCTCTATAAAATAACGCTTCAGAAGCAGTTTGCTCTTTCCTCTCCTCCTGCATTTGTATGGAATCATTTACACGAAGAGTGCGGGTAACTAAGTCTTTATCGATAACTACGGTTGGCAATTACATGCAAGCTCCAACTTCAACCTTGACTTTTGAAATTAAACTTTAAAATTTAGCTCACGAAACCGTTCCACTTCTACCTTGGATAATTCAGTAAGATCCAGTAAGATTCAACAAGATAAAAATAAAAACACAATGCGAGCCACAGCTACCAGAGCACTGCTGCGACAAGGCCGAGCTCGTCCTGAGCTTGGGAGAGTGTCAGTCTTCTCAATTGACTCAGCCGTATATACATACACACATTAGGTTAGGTACTGATACTCTCCAAACCAGCCACGACATATCCCGCCCACGCTGCACCTTAGACACCACCACTACCATCACTACCATCACCACCACCACCACCCCGCCATTCCTTCGCCCATGCATCCTCCTCCTACCCCAATACCCCGCGGGTAGCGGCAACATTCGTGCCCTGCACACGACCTCGCCCGTGTGGAAGAGCAAAGCGCCCAAGGACAAGACGCGCGAAGACCACAAGAAGCCGGCGTCCGTCGCCCGCGGGGACGCCGAAGCCGACGACCCCAACGGGCCCAAGCACCCGCCCGCGAACCCGGAAACGCCGCTCAACTTCGCAGACGTGGAGTCGCGCATCCGCCGGCACGACGAGCACCACCGAGAGCTGCTCAAGGAGCTGCGGGCGGGCGGCCGCTTCAACCCCGTCGTAGTCGGGGCGCTGCGCGTGCAGCCGGACCGCAAGGACCCGGCGACGTACCCGCTGCGGGAGCTGGCGCAGGTGATACCGCGGGGCGGCCGCACCATCAGCCTGATCGCGCACGAGGCCGCCTACGTCAAGCCCATCATGAGCGCCGTCCAGGCCAGCAGCGACTTCAACCAGCAGCCGCAGCGCGACCCGGACAACGAGCTCGAGCTGATCCTGAAGATCGAGCCCGAGACCCGCGACGACCTGCTCAAGCGCGCCAAGGCCGTCTGCAACGATTGGAGGGACCGCGTCAGGAGCGTCCGCCAGAAACGCGATAAGCAGCATGTGACGTGGCGCAAGAACAGCGAGATTGGTCCTGATCTCAAGAGATTGGCGGATAAGGAGCTGGATAAGATTATTAAGGCTAAGATGGCGGAGATTGACGATTTGGAGAAGGATGCGATTAAGAGTCTGCCTGTTTAAGGGGGTTGGTATACATCACTTGGTGGTTGCGATACGCATGGCCCATTGATGACCTGGAGTAAATAGGGGGGGTACGGCCTCGGCTTGATCAGCAGAGGTGTGCATAGGTATGTAGTCGTATAGCACAGATGTATTATAGACTACCTGTTATTGTTACATGCGTCGCGTGGTAGCAGTACATTTTATGCTTAGAGCCCGAATCTAAAGACGCCGAATCATACGCCCATCCTGTGTAATTCCCACCGGAACGGCCTAGAGGGAGGGTGCCAGATAAATCAAGCCTTGGCCTCTGGCCTCGCAGCACCACTGTCAGCCGTAGCAGCTGGCTGCTGACCAGACTGGCCCAGCAGACTCTGAACCTTCGCCTCAATACTCCTCTGCGCATGCGCATTCCACGTGCCATCTCTCCGGACGTAGCTGCGCAGAGTCCCAATCGTATCCTGAGGATCCGCATACTTAGGCCCCTCGCCATACTTGCCCAGCAGCGCGTCCTCCAGCACCGCCGTCTTAATCTCAGCGGGAGCCTCGAACGGCCTATCCTTAAGGACCTGCTTCTTCCACATCCGCGCCTCGTCCGACGGCGGCACGAACGCGCCGTTGCCGTCCCGCCACGCCAGATGCAGCGACAGCGGCTGCTCCAGGTGCTGCGGGTGGAACGCCTGGCCGCCGCCTAGGATGCGCGCTTGGCGGAGGACCGTCTCGCCCTGGCCGAAGGGCGTCGAGGACGTGGCTACGGCGGGGCCCCAGCCCGCGAGCGAGGCTAGCGAGAGGCTGGGGTTGAAGGCTATGGTCCGGCCGGTTTCCTTGCCCTCGAGGTATGCTCTGATGGCGGGGCTGTCTATCTCGTTTTCTTCCTTTGCCTGTTGCCCTGCTTCGCGTCGTCGGGCGCCTTTCTCGTCGTCGTCGCCGCCTCGTCGGCGGCGGGATCCGCGTGCGCGCTGTGGTCGGTCGTCCGGGCGTCGATTTCCTCTACCACCACCACCACCACCACCACTCGGTCCTCCCTGTCGCGGAGGCCCAAATCGCGGAGATCCGCCGCCTCCTCCGCGGCCGCGGAAACCGCCTCGTATGATATTCGGGCTACCATTTGCACCGAATCGAGGTGGCATGCCGGTGGGTGGCGGGCCAGTCCTTACTATGCTGTTGAAACCGCCGCGAGACGGCAAGCTATCGGTTCTGATAATATTCGGGCCGCCATATGCAGTCCTCGTGATGCCGCTGAAGCCGCCGCGGGGTATATTCTTCAAGGTGATAACATTCGGGCCCTGGCTCCGGGCAGGAGGCGGGGCATTCGCAGCTGTGTTCTGGGTTGGCCTCGATGCGCCGATACCGCTATCCACCGTCGCGATCAGCTCGTTGACAGCAGCTATGGAACGCTGCCGACTGGAAGGTCGCTGCGAGTGATCGTCATCGTTGTCTTCGGCGCCCCGGCGCGCGGAGACGGAGAATTGTCGCAGGGAGGCGGCGATGCCGTCGGCGACTCGGTTTAGATCTGGCCTGGCGCGGCCGGCTGCCGAGTTTAGCGGATGCCGGATCATGGCGGGCCCAATTGCGGTGTGATGTTGAAAGCCCGAGCAGTTGGTTTCGAGGTAATCTTGAAATATTTTCGAGATTTAGATTCTCCGAAGCTTTGGCGGTGCTGCGTTATTGATTAATGCGTTTAAGCGAGGGTTCAAGGTGGGATGGATATGACTGTATGCGATACCCACTTTCAACTTCTCCTTTTTTAGTGCAGATAGCTAGAGCAGCCTCTTATTAGCTTCATATCATCGACACTATCGACACTATCGACAGAAACTGTCTTTAATTAATTATACATATGACTCGATCTAATTTAAATTTAAATTTTATTCGACTTCATCTGTCAAAGACCTTCAATTCCCCTTTTCTAACCGTCAACGCTAGTATTATAGATTAACTACATCGTAATAGACATTCAACTTTGCAGCGGCTTATTGATGCCTCCCCACGTTATCGACTTGATGTTCAAGTACTCGTCGATACCATACTTAGATCCTTCCCTACCGAATCCAGATTGTTTCACGCCGCCAAATGGCGTGACAGTGTCTGAGATTAGACCTGTGTTGACGCCCACCATTCCTACTTCTAGCGCTTCGGCCACCCTTGTGATGCGCTCCAGGTCCCGCGAGAAGAAATAACCTGCCAGACCGACATCAGCAGAGTTTGCTAGATCTACTACTTCTTGCTCCGTAGCGAATGGGAATAATCCGGCCACAGGTCCAAAGGTCTCCTCGCCCGCGATAGCCATGTCCTTGGTCATTCCCGTGATGACGGTAGGTTGGTAGAAATTAGCTCCCAGGTCCGGCAGTTTCTGCCCGCCAACAACCACTTTAGCTCCCTTTTCTTCGGCATCTTTAATGTGAGCCTCTACTTTCGAGATAGCGCGGTCGTGGATCAGAGGTCCGTGGGTGATGCCTTCATCAAACCCATTGCCAACCTTGAACCCCTTAACCTTCTCCGCAAACTTCTTTGCAAACTCGTCGTAAATGCCCTTTTGGACGTATATCCTATTGGCGCACACGCAAGTTTGGCCGGACGAGCGGAATTTGGAGGCTATAGCACCTGTGACGGCCGCGTCGACGTCGGCATCGTCAAACACGATGAATGGTGCGTTACCTCCCAGTTCCATAGACAGGATCTTCAAGGTTGGAGAACCCTGCTTCATGAGGAGCCTTCCTACGGCCGTCGATCCTGTAAAAGATATCTTCCGTACGGTAGGATGGGTCGCCAGCATCTCTCCCACCTCAGGTGTGTTCTTCAAGGTTGTCACGAAGTTAACGACGCCTTTCGGGATTCCAGCTCTGTGTGCTAACTCGGCCAAGGCGAGGGCGGTGAATGGGGTCTCTCCAGGCGCCTTAACAACGACTGTACAGCCAGCCGCTAGAGCAGGGCCGAGTTTGCGAGTGACCATAGCAGCGGGGAAGTTCCATGGCGTAATTAAACCGCAGACGCCGACGGGCTGCTTGATGGTCACAACTCTATTCCCTGGTACGGTAGCTGGTATCGAATCGCCGTATATTCTGGGCGCTTCCTCGCTGAACCATTCGAAAAAACTAGCAGCGTATGTCACCTCGCCCTTCGCATCCGCGAACGGCTTGCCGTTCTCCCACGTGATAAGCTTTGCAAGGTCGTCAGAGTTCTCGATTACCAGGTCATACCACTTGCGTAGTAATCTAGCCTTCTCCCGACCAGTCTTCGTCCGAAAACTAGGGAACGCCGCTGCTGCTGCAGCGATAGCGTTCTCGGTATCCTTGCCAGTAAACTCAGGAGAGGTACCAATGAGGTCTCCCGTGGCCGGGTCGTATACCTCAAAGGTTTTACCCGACGCTGCCTTGATCCATTCTCCGTTTACATAACAGACATCAGTCTTGAAGAGGGAGGGATCGTTGAGCTAGAGCATGATCAGTACAGAGATTCATAAATATTATGTTTTCTTAAGCTTACCTTTGGTGCTCTACTGGAAGCTAACCGCGTCATTATGAGTGGAAGATTTGTTCTTTGGAAGTTCGACCTCACAGCAAGTCGCGATTGAGATGTTACGCTCCTTTGTAAGTTCCTGAGGAAACTCATCTTGAGAGGAGGTATGCGGTTGATTAAATCCTAAGCTATCACGGAAGTTAATCGATTTGTAAGTCATCAGGGTATCGTATCGTAGCCCAATAGGTTTATCCCGATGTTTACGCTTATTCATCGAAATGATTCTAAATTCAATGGCTTTAAGACACTCAAAATGACGTCGGCCTGATAACACCGACGACATCGGCGTTTTAGAGGGGCACTAATCCCTAGGGAGCTCATTGCGGGTATTATCGCTATACTAAAAACGATATCAATTGCTGAAAATAGCTAATAAGTCCTATTTAAGAAGGTCCATCCGAGTTCCATCCGAATTTATAAAAATCATATCGGCCTTTAACTTGCACAATAGCTTATATAATTATCTTAATGGTCCTCGGCTGGAAGAATGTTAAGCCAAATCACGATAATCCGATATAATTATAAATCTCTAACCTACCTAGTTATATAGTATGTAAAGCGAATGTCGCTGATTCTTGCGAGACGAGAGAAAAGCTAGAGCAAACAAGCCTTTGGGTATCTCTCGGCATGCATCCCGTGTATGCAACGCAACCCCCCGCATCTCTTACATGATGCGCCCCAAGCAGAGATCACCTCAAAATCAGGTACCCATTGAGAGAACCAGTGCCTGTCCGTGGATGGTACCGGTAGATATATTCCACCAGTCTGCTGTCACCGGCCTGCCGGCAGCTCAGGACACTGACATTAACTCGATCGTAATTCGATCGCATATTTCACCGATGGTACGATTTCATCGTATAAGTGACCATATTCATACATATTTATGGAAGAATTCGGTCCTCTTGGCCAGCCTGTGGAGGGCTCTTTTGGGGGAACTAGTCACTTAGAAGTTATAGAAGTAGTTTCTATAGTCTATAGTTAGTTAACTATAGTTATTTTATATATAACTTGGCTTATACTTATGCCATATGTTAGGCGTGAAAGTCTATCTATGAATTCTATCTATTAATCTAACATATTTCAATACATTGAAATACACACGAAGGCTGGCAAGAGTTATATATGCTATTAGCATAGACTAAACTAGCCATGGCGGAATCTACGATATATACCCTCGGGAGTATGGCGAATTCTGTAAATGCCATCCAACCCCTAGATGGCTTTATAAGCTATTCAATCGAGTTTTCGTCATTCCCTGATTTTGCCGGTAAGAACTTCACACCTATACAGTGACCAACCTATCAATGATCCCAAATCTAAGACGTAGAATAGGCAACAAGTCCATCCCCAACGACTTCTCAAACAACTTACTAGATAACCTCGGTGCATTTTCCGGAATAAAGCCGTATATACGGGTTGGCGGAAACACGCAAGACTATGCCATATATAACTCGGAGCTAACTATTGCACTCAACGGTACTTACCCCTCGAAGACTGCAGACTACCCGACTATCGTCGAGATTGGGCCATCGTACTTTGAGTCGTACAGCACATGGCCGAATGTCAAATTTTCACATGGCTTCAATCTGGGCGGGAACCACGACGACAGGCAGTGGGAGACGCTCCTGCAGACTGTGCCGCTGGCTTGTAAAGCCCTAGGCAAGGATAAACTATACTTGTGGGAGTACGGGAACGAGCCTGATCTCTTCTCCTCGGGGGTTAGGGCATCTAATTATAACGAGTCGGAATACGTAGCAGAGTGGCTCAATGGAACGAGAGCTATTAGGAGTGTGCTGGAAACGAGTTGTCCGGACCTCCTTGACAATGATACATACGGATATCTAGCTCCGTCGTTTGCCGGTACTGGGAACCATCTAAGGGCGCCTCGGACCTGGGCTGCCGGCATCGACGCGGACGGTGATATCAAGCTCTTCTCTTCTCATAAGTACCTACTCACCCACCTATTCTCCTTTGCTCTTACATCTCCCACTCACATCCAAAATAGCTACATATCCGGCGCCGAGAGCCTAGGCGTCACGCTCCAAGGTACTCTAATGAACCATACAAGGACAGCCCTCAGCGTCGACTCCCATACAGCCGAGAACGCAACAATGAAACCAGGAATTCCGTATATCCTCGGCGAGACTAACTCCCTATACCACCAAGGACGTCCCGGGCTATCGAACTCGTTCGGCGCCGCACTCTGGGCCGTCGATTTCGCGCTCTACAGCGCCGCGGTGGGAATAGGCCGTGTGCATTTCCACATGGGCGTACGTAACACCCACCCACCCGTCCACCCATCCACCCATCTAGCATCTCGTCTCTCAAGACATACACATCCTCCCATTCCTATCTGCCTCAACAAGAAAAAACTAACTCCCATCACAACCTCAGACCGACTTCCGCTACGCCTCGTGGCAACCCATCGGCACCAGCAAAACCGCCATCGGCACCAAGCCCCCGTACTATGGCAACGTCGCCGCCGCCGCATTCCTCGGCTCCGCCGGAACCCGCATCGCGCCCGTCGCCCCGACATCCGACGCCGGCACCGCCGACGCCGGCACCGACGTCGCGTACGCGGCGTACGCGCCCGACGGCGCGCTGGCCCGGATCCTAGTGCTGAACCTGCGCGCGTACAACTACACGCTCAACGGCACCGGGGGCGCGGAACTAAACCCGGCTCCGAGGCCGCTGAGGACGTATCGGTTCGCGGGCTTGGATGCGGGGGGCGGAGAGGTCGTGGTAAGGCGGTTGCATGCGAATGGCAGCGATGCGATTACGGGGATTACGTGGGATGGCTGGAGTTATAACTACGAGTTGGACCGGGGGAAGCCGGTTAGGCTGGGGAATGTGACTGTTGGGGAGAAGATAGGGGTTGTGGATGGGGCTGTTGAGGTGCGGGTTGCGGATTCGGAGGCTGTGGTTTTGGATTTTGGGGGTGAGGGTTATTGAAGATGAGTGAGTTGGATAGGATTGTTGCTGTTGTTGATGGGCAGACATATTTACGATCTGTAGATTGAAGTTGGTGATGGCTCCTTTTCCCTCTGACTAACACGTGCATTTACTTCATACTATCATACTATCATAGCTACAATGCAATAAGCGAGGGATAAATACACGATGTAGGTCATATGTTTTACTCCCAAAATTCACATGCTAGACTCATACGAAGAGTATACATATACGTCTGTCTCTAAGTCTACTTCAAAGTACTACCTCCCACCAGGGTACATAACAGGACAAGGTAGTAACGCTGCAACAGCCGATGGATGAGGTCAGAGAAGGCATACGGCGCGTTTACGATGATCGTTGAATTCTCAGACTAGAAAAGCTCTTGACATCGATAGGAGAAAGTGCAAGAGATGGATCGCGTAGGATCGTATATTGTACACTGCCGGGGAAAAGGGGGGTTTATATAGCCTCCCTTTTCTGCCCTTCACATGGTATCATTCCGCCTCGCAAGTAGTGACCCTTGCGCCCCAACCTCGTAAACCTACACCATCTCACCCCAAACATATCTTCGAATTAATTTACTGCAGGGCAAGCCTTGAATACGCTTCCCCGTTTCAAATTATCGACGGAAGTCATATGGGTGTCTTCTAATAACATCCGCTTCCAGAGCGAGACGAGAAGTCCACCACTTTATTCGACGCACGGTTGGATCTATGCCGCGTCTTTTGAATCGTCCTTCCCCTAGAACTGGAATATGGTTCTTACGAATACTGATGTCGCAGCGGAAGTTTACTTTCGAGCGTGTTAAAAGCCATCGTTCGTGGCGTATACGGGAGCGTGCCTGTCCTAGGCGTCGGCGGAATACCATGCATCTCCCAATTGCCTCCTCGTTTTAGGGCGGTAGGCGAAGATGTCTCTTCGTCCTCGTCGTCGTTTAGGTCGTTTTTCGGGTTTGGCAGCATGGCCCAAATGTTCAGACCCAGGTTAATAACGTAGATACCACTGCCACAACGGTTAGCCAAACACGGTCCCAAGAGCACAAGCGAGCAGAAGCCTATACTTACAGCATGATGCATGCTACGGCAAAAGAACCCTTCGCTAACTTGCAGTAGCCTTGTATGCTCTGGTTCGCTGCCACGGTGCATGGCTTAGCGATATACCAAGCTATTGGGCTTGGGTGGTCTGGGTCGAGATAGTCTGATCCCGCCTGGCCTGCTACACTCGTCGCGTAGAGCGCCAAAAGTGCGATATTGATGAACATTGCAAGAATTGGGTACCAGACTTGCATAATAAACGCTATGAGCTTTGTCAGGAGGAGGAATAGACTGAGAACAGCTATTGCGACGTTGAAATCGGTCAATCTGCATGCATAATTAGCCTTCGGATCGGATGGACAGGATAGAGCCTCGTCGTCACTTACGTTTGCGACCATACGAACGGTATTTTTGGCAACGGCTCGTAGTTAGCGTACGCCCACAGGGTAACGCTAGGGCTCGAATTGAAGCCCAGCTCGCTGCCGGCTCGCCATAACTTGGTCCGGTATAAGTCTGGCTGAGCGAGGGCTGTGACAACTAATGCCCCTACGGTTCCCAACAGCTCCGGAATCATCATATAATACATGCCCCTCGTCGACCTCCATTTTCGATGTAAAAGTTTATAGCCCATAGTGAAACAGACCGCGCCGCGAAGGATTTCTTAGTAGCTGCGGCTCTAAGAGAATCTGGTTGGTTCTTTAGAACTGGTATGAAGAAGAAGAAGAAAACCCTGAATCTACACAAGTCGGCTAAATGCGCAGATTTCGCGAAGCTGGCTGATATCGCGTCGCTGGGAACCAGCAGGCCGACTAGTATTTTACATCGGAACGCCTACGATGGCGATTATGGTAAGAATTAGACCTGGATCTTGGGCGGAGACGATGAAGACTTGCGTCGAAAACTCACGAAATAGCTCAGATACGAGAGGAGTTGGCGGTCAGTCGGCCATCTTTAAGGAAATAGGCGCCAAAACCCCCAAATGGTGTCGGGAGGGCGGCTGCAGGTCAATCACAAGTGTGCATGGTGATATGCTTGTATGGGAAATAGAAGCCAATGAGAGAGGTGACAGCAACGTTGAACAAATATAAGCGCCGACTTGTGGTTCGTCAGTGGGCGCTTCGCCCTGGTTCACCTTTGGCCTACGATCGTATATCGATGCAAGATTGGTGGGATACTCAGATACTTCACCAACCCCTAGCTACACGAGCCAATGGCTATGCAAGACGCCGGCTGGGCGATGCATCTGACAACTAGGATTTTGATTGGTTGATGAGGGTTGTGCTTTTGGTTAGAGTCTCCCTCTCGGGTCTTGGCGGTAGAGGCCGTTCCGGTTTGATGAATTGGCCCGCCTCCAAAAGCTACAGTTACGAGTTACGACTGTTGCAGTAGCATAGGGGTCGAATGTCTATCTTTATCAAACACAGCGTTGAGCTGGCTATGACAACGTACGACCATCGGCCATTTATATTTTCTAAAATAGCCGTCGTATAGCATCGAGCAAGGCTTCAACTATCCGATAGCTGACGAGAGCATAGACAACTTGTCTAACCGAGATGAGTGCTCTTACTGAATAATGATGTTAGGCTGGGTTGGACGATATCAATAAGACGAATATAACGAACAGCCTTGGCCAAATGTTGTAAGAGCGATAATGAAGTTGTGGTTGGGTTATGAGCCATTACCCAAGCATTCTTGAATATGGAGAAGGTTGAAGTAAGCAATTCTAATAACTAACATCAGTGCCAAGTCTCAAAATAAGTTTACACTTGTTACTTAATTCGAGTTTGTCTGGATAGTTGATTAATGCTCCATCAACTTGCAGAAGAAGAAAATGAAGAGAATTATCGCGAATACTGAGGCGAAAAGGAATCCTACCTAGTTAAGTAATATTCTAAGGCGAGTACATAGTATATTAATGCAAGGGGTCGGAATCCTCTCTTACCTTCATCCTGGTTGACGGCGTTGATAGTTGGATTTCGGGTACCCTCATTTGGATGTTCATATTAATACCTACTTTAATACTATGTATATCTAGGTATTCCAAGCCAGAAAGCCTCCTTCCCGACAATAATCCGACAGGATGAAGGAATCGGCGATCAGTGTTGATTAGCCAGTAAGCTCGGAATTGAAGAATGCCTTCCGAGCTCGTGACTTGCGTAACAGGACACCATCTAACAAGCCGCCGACTCGCCTTTTTTTGTGATTCAGACTGGTCTAGACTTATAGATCGACATGATCCGCCAATGTATTGTTCACATGGGGTCGACTCAGCAAACGTGATGTTTTAATCACCGTCGTCATCGATATCAGGCGAAATCCCCCGTCAAAGGGGTATAAGATCTTTTATATAATTTCTCATCGTGGCGGCGTGGAGATGGATCTAACCTAAGAGATTGACGATCTGAATCGAAAAGTCATGTTAGGTAGTGCCAACATACATAAAGATGCAGGGCAATCTCATTAAAAAAAAAAGCGAGATCAGCATAGGGGTTAGCCAGGGCACGGGCACGGGCACGAACACGTGGTGTAAGAAGCACAAGGCTTTCTCTGTCAGTCTGTACACAGCATAGTATTAAAGCCCACACCTATTGAAAAAAAGCAAAAAAAGCAAACCCAAAGGATTGGTGGTTCTTTTGTCACGTTGCCTGCCTACATATTATTGCAATGTTGTAGTGGTTGCTAATGTAAGTAAAACCATGGGGCTCTTCTCGGAACAGACCATTATGACATCGATGCACTTTAAAAGTAACATAAAGAGGCTACGAATGGCTAATGGCTGATGGCTGATGGCTGATGGCTGATGGCTGATGGCTGATGGCTGATGGCTGATGGCTGATGGCTGATGGCTACAGGTGCGGTACCTAGCACATGGTACGTAATATCAAAAGCAATATCGGCATCCCGCCCCTCCACACTGGAGTAATTATATAGATGTGGTACCTAGTATACCTTTAATAGGTATGTACCTATGTATGTAGGCGGGACATACCTAAGTACTAGAGTACCTACATATATGAATTGAGGTTAGGATGGACAGGGAGCTAAAGGAGAAGAGGTAGGTACTTGTAGATGATGTATTTTACTAGCTACATGTAGTGTATTGAATCAGGTGCAGTGTATGTTAGGTACTGTAGAGACATGTGCTTGTAGCACAAAAAGCTCTTAATTGCTGAAACATGTTACAGCATGGCGACTTCCAATGCGAGTTCTCTTATGTACCTCCTAACCTAAAGTTAGAGTTTATGGTTTATGTCGTTTTGAACCTAACCTAGGTACATAGTAGATTCCAAGCAAGACCTATCTAACCTAGATTACACAAGTACTCAATCTAGACATATTTATACACGATTCGGCCTCTTTCTCCATTGCGGAAACCGAGGATCTTGTTTGCCGCATTGATCGCCCATTATGTATAAGCCATGCCTGCTACGTAGTACTGTTTGGATGCATGTATGTCATGATCTATGTGGGGTAAATGGGGAAATGTGTTATCGTTTACATACCTAGGTAGGTACTTATATGTGTGTGTGTACATGCATATTCGAATAACACTCCCCGTAGTGTATAGGCGTCTTGTCATTTATAAAATACATGTAGGTAAGTATGTACCTATGTAGTTTATATATCTTCAAAGTGCTTTCCATCTCGAGGCCTTACTTACACCTGTTTTTTCTTTTTCCAAAACCTAGGTAGTTACATAAGGTTTTGTGCCCGAAGGATAGGGCAATTTCGTGTAACACAACATGTAAAAGTTGTGATACATGTAACTAGGTAGGTTAGGTAGTTGGAAGTTTCTAGCCTTAATTCAGCTATGTTATACAACGTTCGGTTTAGGTGCCGGTAGGATTTGATTGGTTCCGAATGGCAACACCTCGGTACTCAGATATACTTACCTCAGGTACATACCTCTGAGTACACCTACTAAAGCCGTTAGCTTTCCCTAGCTGCATGTACTACTTGACATAAACACCAATCTTCAAATTTTCTTGCTGTATTAGGTAGTTAGAGGTACTTTATACTTTTTACACCTAATTATAGGCCTGCACTGATGTGCGCACAAGTAATGAATGAAGGTATTCTGCCTTTGACGATCAAGTCTACTTTTGATTTCGAGACGTACGACATAGTATCATGACTGCCTGCACGGAATTCTCAGCGGTGGCCGAGTTAAGTTTAAGTGATCAACAAACTTCAGCCCCCATGTCTACTAAGGGAGATCGTCAGTGATACTTTCCCCAAATCGTCAGCCGGACTGCTGGAGTCCCAAGGTCTATTCGAGGGTCTGGAACGTGAAAATCAATTAGACCCTTGCAATCCCAATTTCTTTCGGATCTGGGTTTGACGGTACTTCTCCCACGCGAATGTTCTACC